ATTGTTTTAATCTGTTGTAAGCCGCCCAGAGTCCCCCATTGGGGGGAGATGGGCGGGGATACGTTTGATAAATAAATAAATTACAATTATGAGTTCTGATTTATAAAATTCAGAGTAGCTTACCCAACCCCCCATGGCAGTGTGTTTTAATGATGCAGTGTAGAAAATTGTTTGAAAAATAGACTGTAGTAAAGACTTATGCTACAAAAAAACTTGTTAATTTTTAAAGTGCCATAGGACTTCTCTTGGAAAAACAGTCATTCTTAATTTTTTTTAAAAATGAGCAGGAAATTAACGTCGACATCATTCAGCCTCAAATCAATGTTCCCTTTATTTGGAATTTTGCACTGGAAAAGTGGAATAAAATATTGTATGATGTTTGTACTGAAAAAAAAAGTCTATATATGGAGTATTGAGAACAGTCTTTTAAAAAAATCAATAGTGAAGAAAAATTGTCAATAAATATAGAACAAGAGGTTAAAGGGGGAAAGTTGCTCCTGAACCTAGATAAAGGCTAAGTTTACATAATTGTATCTGATCAAATATTTCTATTAATAAATGCATATGGTAGTACTGCACAGTTTGGTAGAACTGGCTGTAAAAATCCAAGAACTTCCATTCCTCACTGAAAAAAACTCAGATTAAATCACATGGCTTGAACATAAAACTTAAGTAAAAACTATTGAACAGGGAATGCTTGACTAAAACCTCAAATGCTGCCTCTGTCAAAGATTTATAGTACTGCCATTCTACAAAGAAAACAATGGCAGGAAGAAGTTTTTCAAGGGTACAATAGCCTGCAAACTACAAAAAATAAAAGCTGCCCTTTCAAGCAATTTATATTTGTTGAAATGGCATCTACACTTAGATATATTTCCATGTTTCTGCCTTTCTGATTAAAATAGAGAGTCTATGTTTCTATTTGCTCCATCCTTCAGCTCTGCCTCCAGGCAGAAAATTTTGTGGGGGTGAGCCGATGATCTATCCTCTCTCAATCATGGCAGATACCCTCTGAATAGGGGGGCAATCTCAGCTGATGCTTCAGCATGCCTAGATGATAAACATTACACAACTGACTTCAGTTTCTGATCTCTCCAACTTGACAAGCAGTTTCTGATCTCTCCACATCTGCCAGAAGATTCTGGTAGCTTTATACAAAAGTCCACAGACAGCAACATTATGAGCATATAATTTAGAGGGCAAAAAAGACAAGAGGAGTAGTCATAGAGGTTTGTATGATGTGCATGATATGGAGAGAGAAACAAACATTGAGAATCTCTTTATTAAGCCAGCAGAAGGTTCAGAAGTAGCGCAAAAGAGATTTTTCAATTATTCCAACTGTAACTAAGAATTATAGACCAATTTCCTTGCTAAATTATGACTATAAACCCGTTACATCAATACTAGCAGAGAGATTGAAGAAGATTTTATTGGACTTTATACATGAAGATCAATGGGATTTCTTACCTAAAAGACAATTGAGAGATGATAATGTAAGAATTGGATTGGATATAAGAATACTTACAACAGCACAATGAAAAGCAAGCAGCTTTGATTTTCCTAGATGCGAAAAAAGCCTTCGATAATTTAAATTATTGCATAATTAATGCAGCACATTAGCTTCCAGAAGATGCAGCAACCATGGGTTTAGATCAGCTTTCTCCAGCTTGGCATTTACCATATACACTGGGCTACTATTCCTGTAATCCTCAGCCAGCCATTGTTTTAAAACAAACCATTAAGGGAAGAAGCGGGTCTTAGCAATCAGAGCTAAACGAAAACGGTAGGTACAAAGGCACTCTTTTCCTTTGAATATCAGGGAAGAGCAAAGGAGGACGGTTGATTCCTAGAACCTTCCATTTTATCACTTGGAAACAGGAGGATGGATTTTGGGGCTTATCCAGAATTATTCCTCATCTTAACAATGATATGGGCCCATCAAAGCCCTCAACTCTCAGAATAATGCCATTGTTGGGGGGGGGGGCTACCATGTAGATTTGGCACATTTATTATCCCTTCCTTACTTTTAGTTGATCACACATGCTTCCAATGTTCTTGCTCAGGAGGATTAAGCAGCAAGTGCTCCTCAGCCACTACCAGGCAAAGCGGGGGTGAGGAAATGCTCCAAAAGTAACATGCATTCAAATACCCCACCTCCCACTTGGCACTTCTGTACTCATACAGTATTGAGAACAGTCTTTTTAAAAAATCAGGTACTGTTCACCACCTGTACTCATACCTCTAGCAAAGGACATCTATGTCCCCCCCACCCCCAACTTGCCATCAAAAAATAATTTCATAATTTCTCCTTAGCCAGTAGTTGGGGAGGAGTGGGAAGGTTAAAGGGCACAAATTTATTATGCAGCCAGAGATAGGGATAGTCAAGGTTACTGCCCAACTGGACAGATGCTCCTCTAAAAAAGAGTTAGCACTTTCTCGCCTGTGGAGTTCTAATAGCGGATTTGTAGAAAACAAAGGAACTCCAGGCCAGTTTCTTCTAGCACCGATACTGAACTGCCTCAACATGTTATGTCTCGTTCATCTTGACAGGGCCTACCTTCTACCTAGGAAAGCCTGAAAGGGAAACTCCTGAGAAGAAAATGTATTCAGCACATCTGAGCTCTCAGTTAAGCTGAACTTTTTAAGATCCTTTGGGGTTTTAAAGCCAGCCAGCCAGCCACCCACACCTCAATTTAGTTCTGTCCGAGAGGACAGTCTGGCCTTTTCCCTGTGCCAAGAAGTGACGCCATGAAAAAGATTATCCAGACAAAGGAAAGATTTCCTTGGGGGCTGAAATCTGTCTATCCTAGTATAGGCATCTTCGTGCTTTAAACTGTGGCTTCATATGAACTAAAGCTCAGCAATTTGAACCTGATTGGAATGAGAAAGATTTTAGATATGTGATAAAGGCAATATTAAGTTCAGTAGGTACAAAGTTCACTGCCTCCACGGAAATCTAACCATCCCTCACAGCAGCCAAGAGAACCTGAATCTACTTTCTGAAAATACATAGAGCTGTTAAGTGCTTCATATATGTTTCCCAAAACCTGGTTTGGAGCAGGTGGGAGTAGCACCTGTCTGTAACTCTGCAAAATCATGAAGAACTCCAGAAAAAGATGTGACAGCTTTAAAGAGTTGCAAATAGTGCTTGTCTGCATACCCATGCACCTTTGGACAATTGCTAAACAGGGATGGAAGAAATAGTTCATCTTTGGCTACTTTTTCTGAAGCTTCAAATGGGGGTGGAAGAGGAACCTCTTTTCTGCTTCCTAGGGAAAAGAATGGCAAAGCAAAATATCGGGTGGAAATCCTGAAGGTCTTACTATGAACTCTTTGGTAACATTTTGATGGGCTCTACATGTCAGCTGTTCATGCCAATCAACACTCAGCCTTGCTCTCCATCACTTTGAAGCTGAGCTTCCAGTTCTTTGACTCTCTGCCATAATTAAAAGGAAACAAACTGGGAGGAAGAAATTCCAAACATCTAAGACAACAGCTTGTCCTATATAATTCATGGCAGTGGCATTACATAAATATGAGGAAACACTAATTTTTCTGCTCACCTGGCCAGCAAACCACTCCTGCTCACCTGGCCAGCAAACCACTCCTCCTCCTTCACCTCTGGATTAATTCAGAGGTGAAGAACATGTGCCCTCCAGATTTTGCTGCTCTAACAGCTTCAGCCAGCGTAGTCCATGTTGATAGACAATTTTACCACACAGCAACACTTAGAGGCTCACAGGTTCCCCATTTAGGGGTTAATTTGATTTATCTAAGGAAGATGGATTCACAGATAAATGGAGAATGTACTGTATATACTCACAGATAAGCCCATCCAAGGATAAGCTAAACCCATTTTTTGGGGTGTATTTTGGAACCTAAAATTCTCAACTTATCTGTGAGTATATACAACAGAAGAAAGGCAATTAGCTACTGAGATATAATAATTCCTTGTGGATTAACACTGAGAAAATCAAACAGATTAGAAGGGGGGAAAAGTAGGTTGAGAATTAAGCTATCAAAAAAGATAGAACCCCTCCATCAGAATAACAAAATATCTTCCAAAAATGAATCCGAACAAATGAAGCTATATTATCAATGAGAACTATACTGTAATGCCACAGACTTTCAAAGGACATCAGGCTGGGAAGGCAACATCAAGGCATGCTCCTTTACAACTCTTAAAAAAAAAGTAGTAGCAGAAGAATGTTGGCCCACATTTAATCTGACTGAAGACTCCAGTTTGAATGCCACTGAGCACCTTCCAAGTTGATACTTAGCCGTGGTGAAGCTACACAGATGGGAAGACCTTCCAAGTCAGAAGAATTTCCAACTACTGCTCTCTTTCTTTTTATTAGTTAACCTATGGGAAATCGCATCCCCAGAATTTACATAAGACCTTTTGAGTCCGGAGCAGAGGGGAGTGAATAACGAATCGAGGCACGCGTATTCCTCCAAGACCACAAAAATGACAGATTATCTTCCTTCTAGCCCTGCGTAAGGTAGACTCCCGAAAGAGTGGAACGAAGCTCTGAGGTTGCTCCTTCCCGCGCACGGCTCACCTCATCGCCTTGGCTGCGTAATTCAAAGGATTCTTCAACTTCTTCTTCTTCACCGGTCACCCCCTTGCTTGCCTCACAATAGTCACGTCGCAGCAAGGTGAAGCCTTGCCTGCAGCACAGCAGCCACCATAAGCCGCCGGGGAACGGCATCCGGAGCTTCGATCCGCGCAGTGAAGGCAGGGAAGGAAGGAAGGAAGGAAGGAAGGAAGGAAGGGAAGGGCTGGGCTGGGCTGGGCTGGGCTGGGTTGAGGCGCCCAGGGCGCGCTCACAGAAAGCAAAGGGAACCTTCTGGCGCCTTGACCTGGCCGTCTGCTCCGCTTGCTTAACCGAGCTCTTGCCCCGCCACAACTCTCCCCGCCCCCGTCCAGGAGCGGGGGACGGGCGCGTCACGGCAAGGCCCTGCCGGTTGCCCAAGAAAGTGCCACCCTTTCCGGGGGGCCGGCGGTGTATTTCATCACGTGGGCTGGCTTGGCCGGGAAGGGACGACCGGTCAGTCGGGAGCGTTCTCGCTCTTTCCCCGCTCCCTTGGCTGGAAGTGGGGCTGCAGTTGGTTGCCAGAATTGAAATGCTTAGAAGCAAGAAGAGGTCTGTACCCAAAGCGTCACTGGAACAGGATGGTGTGGTATTTCTTTCCCGAAGAATGGAGAGCGGGGGCGGGAATGGGAACGGGTACCAGGAGGTCCGAAACTTTGGAAGGGCGGCAGGGAACGTCGGACGATACGAAGCAACGGTTCTAGATCATTGGGGCGGTTCGCATCATCTACCGAAACTCAGACTGGCCAACTGTATTTTCGACTAGCGTTTGTGCGAATCAGTGCAGACCAAGTACGGGTAGCGATGGCTCAATATCGTGCAATTCCAAGAAAGTGGGTTAGGTGATCTTAGTTACGATACCACAAGAACACTGCTAGTAAGTTGAAGCGACGTGCAGTACCTCCCGATAGGAATCAGTAGAGAACGCCTTGACTTCCAGGCGACCTTGAAGCCAAAGCATCAGGCATCATAACCCAATATATGTGAAAAACAATAGCAATAATTATTATGAGGAAGCAAAACGTTTTTCTTTCTTCCCGCCGAAGAATCAAAGCAAGCACATTCAGAAGTTCTGGACTGCTAGGCCAGTAGCCGATAATTGGTAGGCAGGCTAAAGACCTTTCAATTTAAAAAAAATAGGCACTGCTTGAATCCAGGTATTCTTTCATTGAAGAGCTGAAGGTCTGCATTTCCAGTTGCCAGCTTTTTGACAGTGGTGGCAGAGAAGCTGGAGATCCATTTGGGCTGAAGGACAAATGTATCAATTCGTTTAGCCAGTAAGGCTATCTGGAGTCGCTAAGCAGTATTCATATGACGCATTTGGCTACAAACCTATACTGTAAGGCCCTATGCATTCACCCTCATGTGATCCCCCTGCCTCAGTTAATGTGCATCTGTTTTATCAATGTTTATAGTTTGCCATCTGGACCTGAAATAGCCATCTTGGAAATTGGATTTAGTAACTCAACAACACGTCTAGGTTAGCTCTCAATAATCAAAGGTTGAGTATCATGTGCACTGAGCCTGCAGATTCATAGTCAGTATATTATTAAGTAACAAGGAGTGTGTGTGTGCGTGCGTGTGTGTTTCATGCCCTGACTTGGAGCTTCCCTTCTGGTTAGTCATTGTGGGAAACAGGATGTGGACTGGATGGGTTTCTGGCCTTTTTCAGAAGAATATGCTTATGCTGTTAACTCTTGTTTCTCCTTAGCTATTTTGTGACCAGTAAGATCTGCAGTTGCTGAACAGTGACATCCCATCCAGCTTATCTCATTATTGATTTTGTATTTGGATATGGATGGCTCTGTAGAGCTCTCTTCTGCAGGTCTTTTTTCCCTGCCGTATAATAAGCAACCATTTTTGCACTGAAAAACATTAAAATTGTTCAACTTCTTTCTTTCCATTTGTATCACAGACAAATGCTGTGTGGTTGAAAGTGGAACAGTGCAGTTTTAAAACGGAATGTACATTCTTCATTTAGGCTTACGCTCTAGACTGATCTAAAATATCTTAAAATATTTGAAGATGTCTTCTTTTTTGTAAAGCAGCTGTGGGGGATTTACTCAAGCTGTGGAGTCGCAAGGGAGTGATTAACTCTCCCTATGGTTTCCCCAGCTAATGTGCTCTTCCAGAAGCTGCCATGAGCCTTGCAGCCGACAAAATTGAGATAGCTTTAAAGAAAGGATGACTTCAGCCCAGAAAATATGGGAGAAGATACCTCCACTCACATAGTTGCTTTTAAGGGAGGCGAGGAGGAAAAAACCTCTTGCTTCTTATTTGCTTACTTGAATGTCTGTCTGTCTGTCTGTCTATCTATCTATCATATCTACTGTATCTACCTACCTACCTCTCTCGCAGTTTTTTCATGCATATGTGGGAGGTTATTAAATTATGGGAAGAGATAACAGTCCAGATTAAGTAGTCATAGCCAGGTTACTACACAGTGGATTCCTGAAACTGGGTCTGTAGGCTAGGGAGGTTAATCTAAAGCACCTGATTCTAAAGGCACTGTAGGAGTAGTTATGCTTCAGAAAAATTCTTTAGTTTGATCAGTATTTAGCTTTACAGTTACCATATCTCTCTACTTCTTGGAAACATCCACTGAAGTTGGTTTCTTATCTAATATCATTATTCTGGACTAGAGATGAGATGCTAAAGTATTTCCATAATTGAAACATTCACTTTTACCATTACATTTAGTGTAGCATTGCATGGTTGCTTCTGCTTTTAAGTGGACAATTTGTACTGTGCAATTATGTTCTGTCCTCAGTCCTTTGTTTAATGCTCCTTGTCTCTTTAGAAGTTGAAAAATGGTGGCTTCCCTGTCAACACTTTTAGATGGTCTATGTATTTCCGCAGAAATAAATACTGTACACAAATTTGAGTCAAAACATCAGTTATAATCTTCACATTTCTAATTTTTACAATCGATTTTGAATCTTTAAATAAAAACAGGGAAGACTCTCAGAGCACAACAAATTGAGAAATAATGTTGAGTATTAGTTTGCCATATTCATACTAGACACCTCGCATTATTCAAACTTCTGAATCTAGCCGTTTCCACCATTAAAGTTTAGCAGGGGCTAAACATGCTTGAGCTTGTCTTGGCACACAAGCTGGGTCAAGCAGCATCTCAGTGCAACTGGGTGTGTTTAGGCTGAGCTGTGGACACAGGAAATAAAGGCATGCCACATTTGCTTCCATTTGTAGGCTTGCCAGTTTTTTTTCCTAATGGTGTTCAGTGAATCTATTTTCAAGATAGGAATTTGTGTTTGTTTACAGAAAAATGAAAAAGGATTTACAGTTTTAAGAGTGATGCATCTTTTCATGTGGATGCTATTTTATAAGCACGCATAAAAACATGCAGATTCAGACTCAAACAGAAATTTTTTTGAATAGCATCTGTGACTATCCAAATGTACTTGAAGGTAAGGGTTTACATAATATCCTGTATAAAATGTACATTTCTTTGCACACGTGCTAACTCCTAACGTCTTCTATGGTTAGTTTATAGTCATATATTTATTGCAAATTACATATTCCACTTTTCTATGCTAAGAAATATTCAAGACAGTTAATACTGTATTTGATAAAAACAGTCATAAAAAGCAACTTGCACTTTTGATTTATGCTTAGACTGTGTTAGTCAAGAGGATGGTGGACTGAGCGTTTTGCTCAAACTCCCTTGTGATTATCAGCTTGCTGAGATTTGACCCTGAAGAAGAAGCATTGGGTGAGGGAAACAAAAGGCCAGGATCAGGTATATATCCTTCCCCACACATGAGAGGTAGGGTGGATGGTGGACCCTACCTGGGAGGGTGAGAGGGCACATGGGTAGGAACTGCAAGAGTTGGAGGGTATGACACCTATCTCCAGGAGTGTGGCCTTGGGGAGTCTGGTTGAGAGAGGTTAGCCCACTCTTCTCTATTGGAGTAGCCCTAGCTAGGTAGTAGTTTTATTATTTTTCGAATTTATATAGCCCCCCATCTCACAAAACAAGTGACTCAGGCAGCGTACAACAAAGCTAAAAACAATAATTAATAAATAACAATTATTAGTAAAAAGTGTTAAAAACTATAAAACACAGTTAAAAAGAAATAATGGAGCCACCTCATTAGTTCTCCAGTTCCCTAGGGTCCCCAGGCCTGATGGCACAACCAGGTCTTGTGGGACCTTGGGAAAGTCAAAAGCAATGGTGCCAGCCTCACCTCAGGGGGGAGGATATTCTACAACTTGGGCGCCACAGTCGAGAAGGCCTGCCACCTAGGGTCCACCAAATGTAACTCCCTAAATGATGGAACCCGTAGCATGCCCTCTACTAGATCTAGTGGGACGGGCAGATGTGACTGGGGACAGGTAGTCCCTCAAATAACCCAGTCCCATGCCTTGTAGGGCTTTAAAGGTCAAAACCACCACCTTGAATTGGATCCAGAAACAGATTAGTAATCAGTGCAGCTTGCAGAGCAGAGGCGTAGTGTGTGTTCTATAAGAAATACATACAACTGCTCACGCTGCTGCATATTGCACTAGCTGAAGTTTCTGGATACTCTTCAGGGGTTGGGTTAGAGGTCACCATTGTAAGAGTGTTGCAGTTGGAGGGTGATAGCGGTCAAGGGGGTAGCTAGGCCAGTTGAAGGGGTGAAAAATAAGGGGAGAATTGTGGTTGTGAGACACAGAGGAAAATAGAATGGGAGGGGTCAGTCTGTTACAGGAAAAGGAAGAAATTGCAGAAGTCTTGGACTCAGCTGGTTCCAATGAATGCTAAGTCTGTCTGCAATAAGACCTTAGTCTTCTATAACTTGGTGCTGGAGGAGCAGGAAGATCTGGCATGTATCACCAAGACCTGGCTAGCTATGGATAGAGGGTGCCTTTGTCCAAAATCTGCCCAACAGGGTTCTAGGTGATTAACCTAGATTAACCAACCTTAATTCCAGAGCAGAAGAGGAGGGGTGATGTTAATATTCCATGAAAATTCAATGACGACCAGATGTTTGTTTCACAGGTGGCAAGGTGTGAGGTCCTGTATATGAAGTTGGATGCTGAGAACACTCTGGGGGTTTTGCTGGAGTATTGTCTCCCGTGCTGCCTAAATAGCTCCTTCCCAAGCTGCTCAGTTTCATTACTGTGCTGGTAATTGACTCCCCCAGGCTCTTTGCACTAAGGAATTTCAAACTACATGCCTTGGTTGTATGGTCAGAGGTTACAAGACTTGGGAATTTATGCCACTCAGGGTCTTTATTTCAAGTTGTCATGGTACCAACTCATAGAGGCAGCTACACATTGGGTTGGAATTCACCTGAGAAGCAATTGGCTTGTGATTTGAGGGTGGAGGACATTAATTCCATTGTAATCTGACCACCTTAGAA